TTTTTCCTCTTGATATTCATTTTTTTTCAGATCATCATCATTTTGATGGCCCCTTTTTTTTTTTTAATTTTTTTTTTTTTTTTTTTTTTTTTTGGTGTAGATTAGGTAGGTAGTCATTCAGTCATTCAGACATTCAGTCTTTCTTCTTCTCAATGAAATTATTATCGACGACCAAAGAGAGAGAGAGAGAGAGAGATCGGTATTCAATTAACCATGTTTTTTCTTCAAAGATATATCGTGTGTGTATGGATGATGGTCAGGTTTGTCCAACGCACACGATCTTAAGATTATCTTTTTTTCTTTTTTTTATCAGGTAATAATAATAATAATAATAATTACATGATGTTTGATCTTTGATCTTTTTTTTTTATTTACTGAAGATTTTTTTAACCCAATATTCAATCAAAGATGATGATGATGATGATGATCACGTGATTTATTATCATCAGCAACATCATCATATTTATGGAACGATAAATGCGTTTTGGTCGTTTGGAATTTTTTGAAATTTTCGAAATTGGAAAAAAGCTAAAATCAATCGAATCTGATCAATGTAAAATGTGAATGACAAGTTCTTGTCAATTTTTTAAATTGATTTGAACGACCGCCATGATTGTCGAACACTGAATGAAACAAAAAACGAAACACACCAGACATGGTTGCAGACTTGAAGAAATCCGAAAGAATGTTGTCGGATGTCGTTTGTTTGTTTGTTTGTGTGAATTTCGGTTGATGTTTTTTTTCGCATTTTTCGCTTGGTCAAAAATGAAACGAACGAAAACGAAGGGCCACCATTGTTGAATTTCGTGTATGGTGGTTGGTTTTCTCGGTTCGTCTATCCAACCAACCTACCTACTTACTTTACTTACTTTAGTTTATTTACAAAAACACGCAAGCTTTATGATTATCATGATGATGATGATGATAATGATGAGCCGTCTTTGAAGTTTCAAATAATGATAATAATACTACCACTCAGTGAGTGAAGAAAAAGCAGAATAGCGAAAGCGAGAGAGAGAGAGGGTGGTGTGTGGTGGTGGTGTTTGATTGAAAGTTTGTTTGTTTGTTTGTTTGTCAGGTTAGTTTCTCTTAGTTTGTTTCACTGGTGTATGTGTGGAGGGTCCGAAATGGTCGAATGAATTTTCAATTGGCTTCAGAATTTTGAATTCGAAAAATTCACCGCCGCCACCGCCATCGCCATCATTAACATTTTAAGCTTGAATGAATTTTGCAAGAATTTTTTTTCAGAAAATTCTTGAAAAAATGTTTCTTGAAAAATTTTTCTATAGCATCATTATCAAATCAGACATCATCTTATAAGCCAATCTTGTTGTTTGTCTGGCCTCTTTTCTTTCTTCTTTGTTGAACGCCTATTTTGACCTTTGACATCATCAAGTTTTGTGAAAATAGGCCCCGATGATGTGATTCTCTCTCTCTCTCTAGTTCGATAATAATATGACCAATTTAGAATCAATGAATGGCCCTATGAACTTCTCAAAATAAGAATTATTTGAAGAAAAAAGAACTGAATGAAGAAAGCAGGGAAAAAAACACACTATGTGGTCTTAAGATCGGTAGAAATAGAAATTGGATAAAGTTTTTGGGTTCAAAATTTTTTTTTCTGGAAAAAAAGAAACTTTTGAAGAAAATGTTTATGGAAATACACCAAGAGAGAGAGAAGAAAAATCAATTTTGGTAAATTTTTTTTCGTTTTTTTCAACTTTGGGTAAATTGATTTTGATTAATTTTCTCCTCCCCAAATCAATTTGACTGACTGAATGGCTGAATGACTGACTGACCACCACTATCTTGATGATGATAAATGAATCCGAATTTACAAGGTACCAGAAAAGGTAGTCAGATTAAGTTAGTCAAACGAAAAATTATGGTCCATCAGCAGCAGCCGGAGAAGCAGCAACAAGTTGATCAAAAATTCATTTCAAATTTTCAAATTTTTTCTTCGATGATGATGATGACTGATCGATGATGAACTGAATTGAAACTGCAAAAAAATCCTGAACATCATCGTCGTTGTCGGTAAAAATTAATTTTTCATTCGATTAGGAAAACCTCATGTCTTTTTAATGAATTGGATTCATTTTTCATCATCATCATCATCCTCATCATTATCTTATCTGTGTGGTGTGTGTATGTGTTAAGGGAGTTTTTTCTTTGAAAAACTTTTTCTTTGAAAACAAGAATTTAATGAATGAAATCAGTCAAATCTTGTTTGTTTTTCTGTGCTGGAAAAACAAAAATTTAAATTTTTCAACGAAAAAAACAACAAAAAAAAAATGAATTTTTTTTCTGGCTGCAATCAGAAAAACTTGAAGAAAAATCAGAAAAACTCTGAATGGATCATGATCAAGTTGAAGTTTGGCCACCATGAATTTAGCAAACAGCAACGAACGATGATGATGATCATAAATTATTATTTTTGATCAACGAAAACTTTTTCTTTTGGCAAACATGATTGGTTCATGAACAGACCAACATCATGATCTTGATCATGGTTTTGAGAATTTTTGATGCCTGTGATGTTTGATGTCTGTCTTGGTGGCATTATCATCTGGTTTTCTTCAATGGAAAAAACATTGAATGTTTAATTGAAAAAAAAGTTTGATTGGATTTTTTTTTTTTGAATGTTACCCTAGTTTTTTTTTCGGTTGTCGTTTTTCGATTGTCGATGGTGTCCTTGAAATTGATTAAAATTCAATGAATGAATATGATGATGATGAACAGGAATTTAGAGCTTTTTTTTCATTTGCAAATCAAATCATCAATCATAATCATCAGAATGATGATGATCATCATTATCTAATATTACCTGAGATTATTTTCATTACCTCAACACACACACACACAGGTAGAAATATATTCCTGTATAATGCGATTTTTCTTGATATGAAAAAATTCAATTTTCTTTTTCTTCGTAGTTTTTGGCAAATTCAATAAATTCCACACACTTACACACCTTGTGTGTGGCCATTTGACATTGATTTTTTTGTTTTGTTTTTTTTGATTGAAAAATTAACCAAGATTTTTTTTCTCTTTTCTTTTCTTGTTTTCACTAGATTTCACTAATAAATCCCGAAGAAACCGAAGACTGGACAGAACAGGATTTATGGTCGATTGATTTTTAATCGGATTTTTTCAACCCAAAACAACAACAACAACGGTGCTATATTGAAAATTGGAGCGAAAAAAAAGGTCGAAAAAAATCATCATCACCGAATTGACTTGTCAAACATTCAATTCAATTAGTGGGCGTTCAATTCATTAACATCCATTCATTATTCATTCATTCCACCCACACACGTGACTTTATGGTTACATTATCACCATCGATCGATCAATCAATGATTCAAACGACGACGGTCCATAACTTTTTTTTATCAATTTTTTTGGGAAGAAAATTTATTCATCACGTGTCATCGATACTGAAGGCTGACTCATCTCGATGGATGCTTCGAACACTGACTGCTGATCGGAGGCCGCATCAATTTTTTTTCATTAACATGATACATTGTTTGTTTTGATTGATTGATTTAATCGTGAATTACATTGTTTGTTTGTTGCTGGAAAACATAATCATTGTTTCTACCCATGTTTGCTGCTGATTGGTTAAATGAAATGATCACGAAATGAAATAAAGTGATGATGTTGTTTAGTGAATAGTGTTTTTGTTTTGTTTTGTTTCGGTTGAGAAATACAGTGTGGTGCTTCAATTTAGCTGTGATTCTTTCCTCTTTTCACTCATCATTCAAAATTCTTTAAAATTCTCCATATTCTTCAGATTTCAGATTGAAGATTAAGAATCATCAAACAACAAACAAAAAAATGATGGGAAAAATTCTATGAATAACCAATAAGAAAAAAAACAAAAATGGCTAATAACAAATGTAAAGATGGTGATTATCATCACCATCATCATCATAGAACATTTAGTAGTGATGATGATGATAATAATTTTTGGCCATGGACATTGAATGGTCGACCACCATCATCATCAACAACAACGACGAAAATGTTGACGACGACAACAAAAAGAAGAAGAGATGGTAAATGTCAACGTCAACAAAGAATATCATCTATTTTTATTTGGATATTTATAATTATAACATTATTATCAACAACAACAACCATAACAATCAATCAAATATTATGTATAAATTTATCAGATAATAATAATAATAATGAAAATATTCTAGTCAAAAATGATACATCATCATCATCATTATGTTTACATTTAAATTCACGACATAAACATCATCATCAACTTCATCAACAACATCGAGATCAAGATCAACTTCGAGATCAGCATCACCGAACAACAAATTCAACGATGATATTATCGTCATCGCTGAGACATAGAAATCACCATCATCATCATAATCGTCGTGATATTATCGGATCAAAAGATCACCAACATAATCATCATCATCAGGAATTGTTAAAAAGTGCAAAAACAACAAATTCTATTTTAACACCATCATCATCAAGTACTATGAAGAATAATGATGCTGTCGGTGATGTTAATATAGAATCATCATTAACATTACAAACAACATTACGATCATATACAACAACAAATAAAAGTATAAATTTTACACATATTGAATTAGATTCAATAACTGGTAATATTTATGTTGGTGCATCAAATTGGATATTTCAGCTGGATTCAAATCAATTACTGGTTGAACATGCAATTCGTACTGGACCAATACATGATAGTTCACAATGTCCACCATCTGATTGTTCGGGTATTGATCCCAGTTTAATACAAATAACAAATAATATAAATAAAATATTATTAATTGAACCATATGCACGTATGTTAATTGTATGTGGTTCAGTACATCAAGGTGCTTGTACCCGACATCGTTTAGAAGATATATCAAAACATGAAGAATTAATACCATTACCGGTTGCATCGAATGATGAAAATTCATCAACAATTGCATTTGTTGGTCCGGCAAGATATTTTGGTGTACAGCTAACACCAATTCTTTATGTTGCTGCAACTGATACACGTATCGGACCATATCGTGATATGGTACCAGCAATATCTGGTCGTTCATTAGAATCAAATCGTTTATTTACTATAATTGATCGTGGTTTTGCTGATAGTGCACGTGTTGATATTAGTTCAAATATACGTGATTATTTTCTTGTAAATTATATATATGGTTTTTATGCAAATGATTATGTTTATTTTGCACAAATCCAACGGCGATCATATTTACGTACATTAGAAGAAATGGGTTATATAACACGTTTATCACGTGTTTGTGTTAGTGATGCTGGTTTTCATACCTATACAGAGATAACATTAGAATGTTATTCAACAACAACAACAACAAACAACAATCATCAAAGACATCATCATTTTCATCATCAAAACATTGATGATTCAGTGAAAATTCAACACTATAATCTATTACAAGATGCTATTTTAATAAAAGCTGGTTCTGATCTTTCAGATTCTTTAAATATTGAACGTAATTCATTAATATTAATTGGTATATTTACAAATAGTCATGATCATACTAATCGTCCAAATGGTGATAAATCAGCTGTTTGTTTATATCCAATCAATAATATTGAACAACGTTTTGCTGAAAATATTCATCTTTGTTATAATGGTAGTGTTTATTCAAGAAATATGGATTATATTGCTGGTAGTGTTAATCAATGTCCAGAGCCTGGGGTATGTTTTTTCATTTTTTACTTTTTTTTTACTTTTGTGAATGACAAGTTTATTGACGAATTGCCTACTTGTGAATTGAAAAAAAATTTCATTATTAACCCTGCATCACACCATACCGCACACTTTTCAAGAATTTCACTCGAAAGTTAGTTATTATTAATTCTGTTATATCGATGCTACTTTATTTCAAAGGGAGAAAGTTTTCAGTTCTCTCAAACCGTTATTTAGTTAGTTAGTTAGTTATATTCGATAGATATTATTATTATTATTGCCTATTCAAAAAAACGGGAGGATAGTCGTTGGCGTTTGGCAATCCAAAAAAAAACTCAAATAAAAACTTAAGTGGATACACACACACTCGCATACAAACTCACATTCATCGTTTTCGTTTTTCGCTGTGAATATATCCTGATAGTTTTTTTTTTATTTATTATTATTATCGTTATCGTTATGGATCGTCTATTGCCATAGACATAGACAGGCAAACTGTTTTTTTTTTCGTTTTCTGTTGGATCAAATCGTTTCATTTCATTTTGGGTCGTGTGTGTGTGTGTGTGTTTGCTTTTGGCTGATGTGTGACCAAAATGAGACAAACTCTCACACACATAGAGACAAAGAGAAAGCCTACAAATATTTTCATCATATCAATAAAAAAAAAAGTATGGTGAATTACTGAATGGATGGATAGAGAAACATGAGGATTCGGTTTGGTTTTAGTTTGGATTTGAGAAGTATACTGATGATGATGGAAGCTTCCAATAGACGATGAAACGAATCGAAAAAAGTTTCTGTATATCTAAGTTCCATAGAATAACAAATAAAAATATCATATTACAACCGAAAAATAGCCAAACAAAAAAAACTGATGATATTTATTTATTTGCTTGTTTTATCTCCCCCACATTTTTTTCAAATAACCAAATGAAAGAAAAGAAAAACATTATTTATCATCATCATCCTTTAATTTGTTTTGACGGTGTTAATAATAATAATAATAATGTTGTTTATGAATGGCCCTAATAAATTTTGAAAATCTTTTTCGGTCACAAAAAGCTGGAAACCATAAAAATGAATGTATTTCAAATGTTGTTGTGAGTCATTCGAGTCTTAATTCTGGTCATTTCTGTTTCTGATTTTTCTGCAAAATGATTACCATATGGATATTTTTTTGCAAAGTTTCAAAGTTATCGATTTTTGTTATCGATATAGTGCTGAGGGGATGACTCACCACATGGATAAATGACCATAAGATTAGTATTTCATAGATACACGTAATGAGTGAGTGACATTTGACACTTCGATACTATCGATATTTTAATGTTGAATGAATGAATGATTTATTTGTGACATATGTCATACTTCTCTCTCTCTCCATATATGAATCAAAGGTCAAAAAAGTCAATATTTTCTTTTTTTTGGTTAGTTAGATGCAAACAGGTAGATTTTTCTCTAATCTTTTTTTTGCCTTCATTTTTCACGTTGCTCACCATGCTAAAAATCTATCTTTTTTTTCGTTATTTCGAATTCCCCAATCGCCAAACAAAAAACAAAAAAAAAACCATCATGACATCTTTGGATTTTCGACTGGGGAAAACAAAAACGAACGAATATTTATTAGGCCAAAAGAAAGAAAGAAAGCAACAACAAGACCCATATATCGAAATGGTCAACAACAACATAAATCCATCAAAATTAGCATCTTCAAAATTTTTGTTTTTCCATTTTCAAGTCAAATCAGAGAAAACAAAAAACAAGAAAAAAACACACGAAACGAAAAAACGCATCCATCTTTTCAACAGAAAAAAAAACGATGCCATGAATTTCATTTTGATCATTTTTTATTTTGTTTTCTCTTTTCTGCTTTGAATATATAATATTAGTTTGTTTCAAAGCAGTAACCAAAAAACGAAATGAAAAATTCCAAATTCTGAATCATCATCGTTGTTGTAAAGAATTGTCATTTTGTGTGTCCATTTTTTTTAACATTGTTTTTTGTTTTCTGTTTGTCAATGTCATTGTTGTTGTTGTTGCTGTTTTGGTGGCATTGGTGGTGATTAATGTGATTGATTATCGAAACAAACAAAAAAAATCTTATTTTTCAATGAAAATCTTGCACATTTGAATTATGATGATTTTTCTTCATTCAAAATGCGAATTTGCCTTTGCTTTGTTTTGTTTTCGGTTAATCCATCATTGTCTTTTCTTCTTATTCTTTGTTGTCGAAAGAATCGAAAGAATTGGTCATTCGTTTTTTTTTCGGGGGAAAAAATCTAATGGAAAAATCCAGAGAGAAAAAAATTCCAGAATTATTCGAGAATTTGAAATGTAGGAATTTTTTTCTTACATTACCATCACTCTCTCTCTCCCTCTCTATTCTTTAGCTAAAAACACATTACTTTTACATTAACATTCATAAATAACGTAAATAAAAAAAAAGGCCAATCCAATAAAACATTCGAATCGAATTGAATTGAAAATTGAAATGAAAAGAATGTATAGATTTTCCGGAATAAATAAATTTCCATTTCCATTTTTCTTCTGATCTTTTTTCTATTCGGCATATTTACATTTGCATTTCAAAAAATGAAACGTTGATGATGATGATAAGGTTGCCAAAAAAAAATTTTCATCTTTTTTGGCCTTCCATCAATCCAATTTCTTTTTCTTTTTGGAAAAGCTTAATGGGTAGCCCTTATTTCATTATTATTATTATTTTAACTTGGTTTATTCCCCAAAGTTTTCAAAGAGAGTTTTGTAAATTTCTTCTTTTCGCCAATGAATATCAGGAGAATATGAAAGTTTTGTTTTTAATTCAAGATTTCTGTTTCAGTGAAAATTTGTATAATTTTTTTTTGTTACGAATGTCATAGAAATATTCTTTTGCTTGATTTGGAAAATGGATTATTGCTGTTATGTGATTAAAGTGAATTTCATTTTTTTGTTTCATTCACCAGGATTCTGTTTGGATCAATTTCTTCGATGAACAAGAACTTGGTTCAGGCTTCTCCCTTATATTTAATCTTGAAGGAAGAAAATCGGTTTTTTTTTGTTCCCAAAATGATGCCAGATGAGTCCCGTATTCAATTTCTCTTCTTATTTTCTTTCTGATCCAAATTGACAGGAATTTGATGAAGAATCTTACTGATCACCGAAAAAGCAGGTGAATCAATGATAATGATGATTGCCCGAAAAATCCCGAAAAAACAAAATCAAATTTATTTCAAGTAATGATGATGATGATCATAATGAAATACCGGGTCCCGAATTTATTGTGATTGACTTGCATTTGCTTGCTTGCTTGCTTATGTTTGTGTTTGCTTGTGAATTTCGATTTTTTTCGTTTGGAAATTTGTTTTTTTATTTCATTTCACAATTTGATTTTGATTTGATTTGATTGCTCGATTCAATTCGATTCGATTTGATGATGATCATCAGATCAGATTGAAAAACAAATATCGAATGAGATTTTCTCGTAATGATGTCAATTTTTTTTCTCCCAAGTGTTTCTTGACTTTATCTATCCTTCTATATCATGGTTGTTGTCGATAATCATCATTATAATGTTGTTGTTGTTGTTGTTAAGAACCCTAGTCGATTTAAACGATACACAGAGAATCTTTGAAAGAAGAAAAAAAAGATCATCGAAAGACGAGTGTAAAATCTTCATATTTTCGCCAGAATGACCAAAAAGAAAAATTATCGTCTCTTTTTGTTTGTTTTTGTTTGTTTGTTTGATATCGACGATATCGATGATGATGATAATTAGAATGTTCGTGGCAATGAAAAACGAAAGATTTTAAAACAAGAAAAAAGGCCAGTGTTTGAAAGTTTTGAAAGTCGATTAAGATGTGTATATACATCATATCATATCATTATAATCGTATTAGGTAAATTCTTGGTTTTCCTTTTTGGTTTTCTTTGGTTTTGACTTTCTGTTCATCGTCATATTTTAGTCATAACAAAAGAAAGGTGATTATCATTCTTTGCTTTTTTCTTCTTCTTCAAAAAACCAAGATGCTCTTTTGGAGGGTTTATCATTCCTAGCAAAGCCAAACAGGCGAAAACATTACACTACACTGCACTACTCTACGTCTCTCTCTCTCTCTCTCTCTCTCTCTCTCACTCCCTAATCAATCCGATTAGATAAAAATCTATGTATGTATATCAATCTGATTTTCATTTCAATTCATCATTTAGATAATCTCCATTACAGAAACTGAATGAATTTTGTTTTCTTTCATTGAAATGATTGATACTAATATTGATTGATTGATTGATTAAGTTTTTTATCAAATCATTAAATGAAGTGGAAAAACAAAACAAAAACGAAACACAGATTGTGTCGAAATAGTTTGTTTTTAGTTTTCTCAACTTGAAAAACATACACGTGATTTGTTGTTGTTGTTGTTGTTGTTTAAAGTTTACTATCGGATACTTTCCGAATCGATGGATGGAAATAGCCGAAATAATCAACGAAAGTATAAATAGAAAACATTGAAAATCCATAGAGATTCTCTTTTGATAATAAAAATTTGTGCCATATGTGTGCAATTCAGTGTTATTTAACAGAATCTTTTATTTAGAATCCCAAAATTTTTCCAAGTAATAATAATCACAATAATAATGTATTATGTAAGTAAAGAATTTAACCATTAAGCAGATAGAAAGGAAGCTAAATTATGAGAAAAGAAAAAAATTCTTGGAACCCTTGTGTTGTTGTTGTTGTTGGATGCTTGTAAATGATGCTTGCTTGCCTGATTGAAAGCATCATATTGGCTTTTGGGTTTTGGATGCTTAAATAGACAAACGAATAGTAAGCAAGGATGAATATTATTACAAATTAAATCATCTCATTTTCATCTCATTCGCATCATCCGCATCCATAAAAAAAAAAATCTTTTGCGAAAAAAATTCTGATGATGATGATGGTGATGGTGTGTGTGAGCTTGAATACATCTTTTTTCTTTTTCTTCTTGTTACCCAATGAAATTGAATCAAAAGTGTGTAATCATCATCATCATCATCATCATCATACGTTCAGTAATCATAAGAACATGGTTGGAAGAAAAAAATATGTAAATTTATGCAAATTTTTTCGTTTCGTTTCGTTTTCATTTTCTTTGATTATGGTATATGCATGATGCATGATATTTCCATTGTAAATCACAGATTTTTCGTTGCAAAAAAAAACCCTCAACT